AGCAATACTAAGAGCATAGGGTGCAGGACAGAGAGCAGGTCTTTTCTCTTCCTAGCAGTGTGTGTGTGTGTGTGTGTGTGTGTGTGTGTGTGTGTGTGTGTGTTATGAGTGTGAGTATGTGTTCAGAAGTAGAAAAAAATGTGACAAGACCTAAGAAGGCAGAGAGAGGAACAAACAGCCTTCAAGAAGCAAACAGTTTTCTTAGAATGTAGTAACTCCATTTAAATATTATGCATTGAGCAAATGGACAGAAGTCAATGGCGTTGGCAACAAAAGCCAGAGTATATAGCCCTGTGGAGCTCTTTCTGAGAAATGAGGGATTAGCAAGCAGGCAGAGATTAGAAAAGACACGTAAACAGCCCTCAAGGAAGAGAAAAGACCTATTCACTCACCCCACACCCCACCTCTACACCCCTGTGCCACCCCTGTGGAGGGGGCAACCTGGAAACAGACACCTTCCTGTCTCAACACACATATATGCATAAAAAGTCACAATACACAACAGAGTGCATACAGCTCATGCATACACAAACAACAATGCCTGGAATAGACAAAGCAACAGTATGCTGGATGAATGAGGTGTAATTACCAATTTAAAAGACTAAAAAGGGCCTGTGAGATGGACCCATATGGCAGAAGGATAGAACCAGTTCTTTCAAGTTATCCTTTGACCTCCACGTTTCCTGGAAATTGTGTCTAAACTTGAACTAGAAATCGATACATCAAACAGTAGGACAGGGCTTAGGGATATAAGCTGGGGAACATTTTCATCAGAGATATTTCAGGCTGCAAACAAACATTGCAGTTTTGTTAACTTGCTGAGAGGTGCTACTGTGGGTGTTTGTTGTTATTGGGAGGTATTTGAATCTCCCAAAGTAAAAACCCTTGGAGGGATACCATGGCTGGAAGAAGAGGGAATCAGAGGGTGGCAGCCTGCAGTACAAGTGAGTTGTCACATGCTACAGTGTGCATGTGCTAAGAGCTAAGTGTGAAGTCACCTATAGAGTGAGCACTACTTCACCCCAACTATAGTTTGGAAAGGGGAAGACACAGCCGCAGTTGGTCTCAGCACACTATGGCACTCCCCTGATTCAGCACAGGCTGTGTGTGACACAGAAAGCTTAACAACTGAAAGAAACACTACCTGATTGCACAGTCAGGGCGTGCTGGGGTCTGGAAGGGCAGACATGATAGCTGAATTCTGTCTTCACAGTCAAATCACAAAACCATGGTACTGTGCGAAGGACAAATCACACTACCCAGGGTTGGAATTCTCTCAGCTGTTCAAGCACTCTCCAGGTAAAGCAACCAGGTGATGGCTCTTCTAATTAGTCTCTCACAATTATATCCAATAATGCTTAAGTGGCATCTCCAAATAGCTCAGTTTCCTTGTGTATCAGGAAGCGATTATTAGTTACCCCACCATTTAAGAAGGATGGAGTGGCCTAAAATGCCTCAGGAGAAAAGCATGAAAAGTTAACATTTAAGCAAGCTGAGAAGAAAAGGATCCTGGGTAGGCAGTGGAGGAGGGGACAAAAAAGGGAGCCATTGTAAAACTGGGATGCCCCCACACCCTTATGCCAAGAATTTCATAAACGCAAAACATTTCTTGATGGTTAAACTCACCCCCCTTTTTTTAATTATGAGAAAGTATTTCAATTACTGACATTTTACACCAAATTGTAGAACAGTCTCATACAACTGGGACAAGGAGGAACGGAAAGATACCCTTAATCCCATTATCTGACTTTCTGATTGTGTTGAAGCAGAAATGCCTAGGCCCTGAAATTCTGAAAAAAAAAATCATGTCACTTGCCACTTCCTGCAGGAGAATGCAGCTGGAAATGACGTGCTTCGTACTGAGCACATGTTGGTCCACGCTGCAGCTACTGCTAAGCATCATAGTGACACTGTGCAGTCAGAACTCAGGGTGCTCATCTCAACTGATGCAGAAGTGGAGGCACAGAGAGTAGGGGACAGAGCAGACAATGGTGACTTTCTGGTGGTTATGAGACTTCATCACTGTCCCTGTTTCTATGGGACTTCATCACATGTCCTTGTTGTGGACTTTCCCACTGTAATTCTCTTAGGATGGTGAAGGCCTTCATCCTGGGTCACAGTCTGGAGTTTTGAATAAATCTCTGGCACTCAAATGTTTGATTGCCATTTATCTCCAATTTTAAATGCCTCTTCAACATAGGGTAGCAGTCCAGTGAAAGTCAGGTGTATGTCAAGTGAGCGGAGCTGCCCTGACCACACTTACCATCTTGTAGAAGCGGTCACTCACTGTGTGAAGTTTACACTGAACCAGACATAACTGTGGCTTTGAAACTGAACACTACTAACTTGTACAAAGATTATCCCCATCCTTCAAGAATTTTATCTTTTCACAAGCACTGTAATTGAAAAAAAACAAGCCCCTAAAATTTGTCTTCATGAAATCCAGAGGGTGTGGCTGTTAGGGAACACCTGTTGGAACCTAGCCACCTTGTTGTCACTGGCATTTGGCAACATTTCACTCTGGGTTGGCCATTTGGTTTTAGAACAGTGTTCATGCCTCTTTACATGTAAACTCACACAATCATTTCTTTAAGATGAAGTCCTTATTCTCTATGAAAAGGAAAATAATAAAAAAAACCTCATAGACATCAAGTTTATGTTTCATTTGTATGAGTGAAAACTGCTTTTGAAAAACTCATCCTGTCACTTTAAACATGCATCAAAATATTTGGTAGTTCCAACAAGACATTTGCATTAGTATGTGGGTTTATTGACATAACTGAACATAACAATGTATAACATTTATTCATTTCTCACTGAAAAAGACTCTTCAGTGAAACTGTTTTAAGTCCAGGCTTTAAACATTTTTGGTGATATTCTACAGTTGAAAAAGGCAGGTGGTAGATCCAATCAGTGTTTTGTTTTGTTTGGTTTTGTTTTCCAGACTTTCAATGGGCCTCAGTTTTACACTGTCTGAAAGAAACAGCTAAGAAATGCAATTGTGCTGTGCAGGAAAGAATGGGAGTTATACAGAAGGTGCCATATAGGCTGCAGGTTCAAAATAGGAGCAAACAGCTCCACCTCCCACCTCCCACGTACCATAGACAGGGAATCTAAAACAAGGCCTGGCAGCAAACACAGAATGACAGTCCATTTCCTGTGGTTTATTAAGTTTGGGCCGTGCAGATAAGACTGCCAGAAAAGCAGCTGTGGCTTAAGTGGTCTGGACATTTACTCATCCGGACATAAACAAAGACCAGTTCATTTAGACCCCTGGGCCCTCAGCTGCTGGGACAAGGCAGGCAGGGCTCATGTGGGCCAAGCATCGAGTGATTGGGCTGAAGGGCCCTGGACTGTGATGGATTCCCTGAGTCATTGGGACCTTCAGGGGCCCGAGGCCTGAAACAGAAGAGTTACTGTTAGCTATAGCACCTTGAACTGGCTGACCTGCACAGTACCTCACTCCTAATAAATCCATAACCACGGTGACTGTAACCACAGTGCACACCCTCTTAGTGAGTGTACGTGGACCACACACAAATTATTAATGTGAACCCAACCACTACATTTAATATAAACATGGACTTCATAAATATCAGGGAAGAAAAGTATCCCAAATAGCTAAAAAACCGCAACTAAACAAATGCAGGAGACTAATCCTAATTTTTTTTAAAAAAAATAAGAAAATAATATTGCAACTACTACTAAAAGATAAGATTTAATAACACAGTAAAACACTGGCTGCTGAAGGAATTAATTTTTAAAATATATAATTATTTCACAGTGAGGGTTAAGTACTCAGGATCTTCTGGATTTAGTAGAAGTAGATACTACTGTATATCTTTTTCACATTTGTTCCCCACAATTTCTTTTCTTCTATTGTAATGTGGTCAGAGATTATACTACTAATACACCATCAGCCATTGCTTTCTTTTGTGATATTAGGATGGACTTAGAGCCTCAAGAGCAAACACCACCACTGAACCCAGTCCCCAGCCTGACAATCACCTTATGCTTATTGCCTAACCACGCAACTCAGAAATAGGTGCTGTCAAGAAGGGCAGGCCACTGATGAAATGCAATGAGAAGCAGGTCACATGTATACCATCTAGACATGCCATCAGAAATGTGGTAGATGAGCTGGAAGGCTGCAGTGCCCTAGAGAGTCATCAGTTTCATACATATTGCATTCTTATTTTTGTTATCAAATCTGGCATTCAATTTTTTCCATATATAGATTTTAAAAATAAAATGAAAACCACAGGTATAAGCCTGATTGAGAAGTATTGCATGCAGCCTTCTCCCAAGAACAATCTCAGTTACCCAAAGGTCAGCAAAAGGTCACATCCTGTACAAGATAAACAGTAGGAGTCCAGTCCAGTCAAAAGAGCCTTGGAGTTTATTGGTCAGTTTGTTAAATGCTCTTTCATATTGTTGGAAACGGTTTAAAACTTAAGGCTTCCGGGGCGCTCTACCAGCCGACAGGAAGGGGTTCCTGGGAAAGTGTGGTACCTATTTACCCTGCCCATTTCACCAGAGACCACTAGATCGGTGGGGTCAATTGCTGGACCCCTTTGTGATGGTGGTAAGTCCCCTTGCCCTTCCTTAACTGGAAACAGAACTCTGCCATAGAGCAAACATACAATCTGGAGTCTTCCTGCTATGGGAGGAGCATAAAGTACCCTTTCTAGCTCAAGGTCAGCTAGGTTACTGTGCGGCAAGGACACAGGAGTCATTCCCTAGGTGTGTCAAGGCTTTGCCCCACCATCCAATTGTCCCTGTTCTTGAGTTTGACAACCAAGACTCATCCACCTGCTTTGTGAGTACTGGGACATGAAGGATGGCGTCCAGACTCGCTTTCAGTACCACTTGGCTTCAGCAAATGCACAAAAGGGCGAAAGAAGAGGTGTAACAAAACAAGGTCTTCCTCTGAGATGGCATGGGGCCAGGGAGAGGCTCCTCAAGGCCAGTGAGATGGTTTCCACACCGAGGCACTAAACCTAGTCAGCAAATCTTTGCAAGAGGTGATCCTCCCGCCTCAAGCTGCCACCAGCCCCACCACCAGTGCTGTCCATGAAGCGGTCACAGGGAAACTCAATGAGGTCCGCCTCGCTGAGGGCACACACAGTAGTGCGGGGCCGGTGCGACTGGAAGCCCGAGAAGTCCGCAGACACACCTGTGCCCATGGACCGCAGTGGCCGTCGGGTGGAGTACATGTGACGAACGTGGACCGGGGCCCCTCCCTTCCGCCTGGCTCGCAGTTTCCTCCGCAGCCACCGAGATCCCCAGGCGGCCAGAGCCAGGAGCACCAGCAGCGCGTTGACAGCCAGCAAGACCAAGGTCAGGAGCTGGTAGTCGACGCCGCCTCGACCTCCTGCCTCTGGCAGGGTTACCAAGCCTGCACAGTGGTCCCGGGGGGCCACGGGGCAAACTCGGCCCCCGAGCACGCCCTCCACGCACACCAGGTAAGGAGTGTCCCCGCGCAGCTCATGCAGCGTAGCCGAGTCGCTGCGCTCGGGCAGGTAGACGAAGCGCTGGAACTTGGGCTGCTGGCCAAAGCGGTCGAAGAGCAGGCGGAAGCGTGCGCCGCCCTGCGGCCTGGGACTGCGGTGCTCGCGAACCGCCCAGCGCACCGAGGCGCTGTTGGCGCTCACCGCCTCCACCGTCAGGTTGCACAGAATGAATTTGTTGAAGTCACAGGGGTCAGATACCAGCGGTGGCAAACCCACCCCACCGTCGGACAGGGCTGCACGCTCTTGCTGCTCCGAGGCTAGGCGCTGCCTTGCTGCGCGCTGCCAGCTGTCTCTGGCAGATGGTGTCCCAGAGGCGGGCTCAGCCGTCGAGGTGGGCTCCGCTTGAGCAAGATTGGCACGGGTGGGACGACCTCTCTCAAGCTTCTCGTGCAGGTCCAGGGACTGTGGGGCAGGACCCGAAGCAGCAGCGGTGGAAGGGCCCTGATGCTGCAGGCCTGGACCCCTCCGGCTCAATCTTAGTGAGCTGCGATTGCCCAGGAGCTCCTTGGCAGCACCGCCCCAGGTCACTCCTGATAGAAGTCTCCCCCGCTGCTGGGGTTGGGGCTGCGGTGGCAGCTCCTGCGCGAGACCCCCTGCAGGGGGCGTCATCCCCTCCCCGGTAGCTGTGGATAGAGGCCACTGCCTACTGCCTGCTGTCGGGGAAGGTGAGGGGTCCACGCAAGACCCATTTTGCAGCAATTGGTCATCCAGGTAATCCAGGTACTTGCCCCGCAGGGCCGGGGGGTGGCGACACTGCACGAAGACCGTAAGAAGGCGCCCCTGAGAATGCCAGTCGCCCATCCAGCGCTTCAGACCCCGCAAACGGCAGTCGCAGGTCCAACCATTGCCGTCTAGATCTAGGCGGTAGAGAGCCGGGCTGGCAGCGAAGATGTCTCCAGAAAGGGCTCTGAGAGCGTTATCGCGCAGGCTGAGCTCACGTAGACGGCCCTGGTGGCCAAAGGTGGCGGGATGCAGAGCAGAAAGCTCATTGCTGCTCAGATCTAGCGCCTCCAAGCTGTGCAGAGGCTCCAGCAGTGCTAGGGGAAGCTGGCTCAACCGGTTGCCTTCAAGGTGCAGCTCTCGCAGGGCCTCCAGGCCCCAAAAGGCCTCTGGTGCGAGCTGTGTGAGCTGGTTGCCGCTGAGGGAGAGCAGGCCAAGGCGTGGCAGGTGCTGGAAGATGCGGGGGCCGAGGTGCTGCAGGCTGTTAGAGGAGAGGATGAGAGTTGAGAGGGACCGCAGAGGGATGAAGGTGGCTGCATGGCGCAGGGAGGGCTGCAGCTCGTTGGCAGAGAGGTTGAGGAATCGAAGCTTGCTAAGCTGGGTGAAGGCATTCTTGCCCAAAAAGCGGATCCGGTTAGACTCCAGATGTAGGTAGAGCAGGTTGCCCAGGGGAGCGAAGACTGCGTCCGGCAGGGCTCCCAGCACATTCCCGTCGAGCCGTAGCTTCACTAGACTCTCCAGGCCCTCGAAGGAGCCGCGGCTAAGGCGGCCAATCTCGTTACCGTTGGCGTAAAGGATGCGCAATTTGCGCAGCGGAGCCAACGTGCCAGGAGCGAACGCCTGCAAGAGGTTGTTCCCCAGGTACAGCTCCTCCAGGCGGGAGAGCTTCTCGAAGGTCTTGGGGTGGAGAGAGCGGATCTGGTTGTACTGCAAGTCCAGCCGCCTGAGCTGCCCCAGGCGGTGGAAGTCGAAGGCGGTGATGTTGGTGATGAAGTTGCCGCCTAGGCTGTAGGTGAGCACGTCCTGGGGACTAGGCAGTGAGCTGGTCTTGGGCACGGCGCGGAGCCCCCTGTTGGTGCACAGGAGGTGCTGGGGGTGCTGG